AATTCGTGTGTGCTAGGCATTAATTTAGTTTGAACTTTGCCATTCATATACATGTGTTGTTTTTATTACTCGCTTAATATGTATCATTTTTTAAATTTTTTGTTCATATCACTTTTACATTTATGACTCCTCGAACATTATTTGTGCGTACTAAAATATTGCTTTCTGATGTGTTCACCTCCCACAATAATGACTTTCACAATCTTGTAGGTCAACTTGCTAGTTCAGATGAAGTAGCATTGCTTAAAATTCAAGGTACTCAAGCGTAAGTGAAGTCAGGTGCTGATTCGAGTATTTACGAACAGGATTCATCCAGAAACTTCTTCAAATCCTGTTATTCTTGTTTTAAGTATAATTAAAATTTCCATAGCTCAAATCATGTCTCCCGAAACCTTACAATACTGAAATTTCACTATGCCGATCTTGAAATGCATAAATTAATAGTTGTTCACCTTGCAGACAAATCTGTTTTAAAGTTCCCTTTCTTATGCAAGGTAACGGGTAATAGAAGCATATCGTTTCATCTCTTATTAGGTTCATCTTGTCTAACCTGCGAGGAAAACTATTTACCAGCGCTTGTTTCATATTACAAAGAGAGAAGTCAGGTTTTCTAAATCAAGTTTTGTAACGAGTTTTCATGGATATATGGAAAATGGAATTCGTTTAATGAGTTATAAACCATTAACCAGTATATTAAGATTTTTGGTGATATATTTTGAACAATCAGTAATCTAAATAGACTATTAGAGACAGCTTATGGAGTTCTACTTGGCACAATAATAGGAAATTTGTCATAGCTTCTTGGACTAATATGAACAGTTGTTATTTTGTAGATTCCAAGATCCTAATAGTGAGGTTTCAATATTGTGAGGTTTTGTGAGGCATGCACTGAGTTATGAAAAATCTACTTATACCACTGGATAGATCTCGTCAAGTTGTACTTGAAATAAGAATAACAACATTGGAACAAGTTTCTGAATGAATCCTACTCGTAAATAGTCGAATCTGGCCTCAACTTCACCTACGTTTTCAAGGAATTATGAGAGCAATGAGAGCAGAGATTGACATTATGATTGTTTTCGCTCTTTACAAAGCTGAAGGATGTCAGAATTGAAAGTAACATTCGAATAAAGCGAGATATATTAGTTTTAAAATAAATGACTTTCATGATTTTTAAAGTCATCAAAGTTATTTTAAGTCAAAAAACGTCCAATATCAGTCGTTTTCCCCTTGTAATGATTCACTTTTTTTCTTTGTGATAATGAGAGTTCAAATGTTTTTTTGATATTTATTTCTTTACATTCCGAATATTTAAAGAGAATGAATATGTGTGTATTATGTGTATATAAATAATTTTGTTTATATTCTTAGTAGTTGGTCTTATTTAATAATTATTTTCTTCTATCATTTTTCTTGCGCATTTTATTGTTTCTTATATAGTTTACATTAATATAAATAATTAATTAACAATTTAAAATTATCGATAAATGCATGGTGTTGTTTATATTATATAAATATCATTTAAGAAGATAAATTTAAGTGTCTTACAGTAGTGGACAGAAGTCTCTATTCTACTGCATTTTAGCTAACATACACACTGAAGATCTAAAAATTTGTGTGCGCATATTCCATCAACTTTGATTGCATATGTAACAAAGAGAATTATAATGTATGTTATTAATGGATGATACGTTTTGTTCTTTTGAATTTTATCACTTTGAAAAGGAAAGACTTTGTAAGTCAGCCGATCTCTCATTATGTAATGCTACGTTTCAGATATCTACACTATTGATTCGATTGAAGTTTATCAATTCTTTCTAGAATTGTGACGTTCTCTTTGTCCTTAAACAATCGTAGTACGGTTTTGACATTGATCTACATTTTCAATGGAGTATATATGCACAAATTTTCAGATACTCAGCGTTTATGATAGATAAGATTCGGTGGAGTGAAGACTTTTGTCCACTACTGTAAATATCATACTTTAATACATTTGTTAATTTGTCTATACGTGTTGATTCGGTTCGATCCCAAAAAGAAAACGCGAACCGATTCCATCTCTCTTGTACACTATGATTTTTGAATGGATTTGTTAATTTAAAGGCGGATAAATAGTCATGAATTATGTTTCGAGATGTAAAAGACATACTGGTGAATTGATGTCAACGAATTTAACATTCAGATTTGAATCCTATGTGACTGATCTTGTAAAATGTCACACATTATACATTTGAAATGCAAGTAATGCCTTTTATTTGCTGAGTTGGAATTCGAGTATCACCAATCATTTGACTTCTAATACTTTTATTAATTAGTTATGCTATTCACATCTCGCATTATGACCAATGTGCAATTATTAATCTACAATAGAACGATTTTATTCAGAAGTTGTATTCAACGACAGAATACTGTTCATAAGAAACTGTCACTAATATTTTAGATAAAATTTTGTCTCTCAAAACAGAAAATTTTATTATGGAGTAATGTTTAAATTTTCCCATTCTCTGTCGATTAATATAAAAATCTATTTCTATATTTCTACACATATATGTAATATAGTAGAGTGTGATATCTATAAATAGAGCATTGTATAAACTACGTACAAACGTCAATATTAATGCAGCAGCACTTTGTTTTTTTTTTTTTGTTTTAACTAAAATCAGTCTGAAAATTGTTGTTTGGACGATTTGTGTAGTACATCATTGATTAAAATCAATCATATTCAAAAGAGAATTCCTATTGAAACATGTTTATGAATCGAATGAATAGAAACACAATTAATTATCTATATTTGTCGGATTCCATATTAATTCTACTTCATTTGAAAATGATAATTCTTTTGTTTTTGTTTTTTTGTATTAGTCTAAGTTTTGAAAAGATGTGTTCGTGTGAAGTCAATAAATAAATGATATTTTTGATGTTGTAAATTTTGTTTCGATGGATCTGATATTCTTATCAATTCAACAACCACACATCCGTCCACTAAGAGTTTTTTTTTATTTCTTTTCATTTCAAAATTTTTAATAATAACATAAGTAATTTTACATTAAAATAAGATATTGACAAGAATAACAAAAGCACTACAAGGACATTGATATTTTTCTTTCATATTTATTACAAAACTAACAAAATCATACTTTTAAATTTTAAATTAATCTATTTGTTTGAAAAGTCACGTTTTAGGAAAAAAAAAGTTCTCGAATATATTTCAACTAACTGATTGAATCAGAAATGAATATATTCAATAATATAATGAATATTTTAAAATAGAACTATATATAATTTGTGAAGAATATTTACTTCCAATACAATCATTTTTCGAATATGATTTTATAATTCATTACAGTATATAACCAATAAATTAATAGAATTTATATTTTCAATATTCAATTATTTAGATACGTGAAATTCTAGTTGGTTTTACTAATATGATTAGAGAAAAAGGATTGTTTCATATAAGCAAAAAAAAAATCTATTAGACTAATATTTTAAGATAGAAATTAATAAAAAAAAAAATTAAATTACCGTTCTATTCATTTACAAATTATTCTCCATGAAACTTGAGCTATTCTTTTTTTTTTACACTAAATAAATTTCTTTCATGGTCATTTAACGTTAACAATAAGTAATCAAACAATTTTCAATAGACATTAGTTTGTATGTAGTAATAATAATTTAGAATGAATTGCTACTAAATATAACACAATCTTATCTTAGAATAAAAAATCTAATTTTCATATTATCTTTCAAGATATTTATTTAGAGTTCAACTTGTTCAATTAATATTATTTGATCTATGCAAATAAAAAATTCAACAAGGTTAGAATATCTAATTTTATCTTTTATATATATTGCAATTGAAATTTTAAATCAAAAATTCATTTATTCATTCTCATAGATTCATAAAAAATGATCTTATTGATATAGTATTAAATTATAATCAATATTTTCATTGAATTTTTCGAATTAACTTCAATTTCATAACAACAGATAACCTTTTTCTTTTTTATATTTCAATAACATAATTTTTTTTTTACTATAAAATCAATTCATTTCATCATTATACAATATTTATACTTGATAATGCCATTGCTATTGGCAAAACTATTATAACAATCTGTAAACAAAATGAGGAAATACATGCAATTATTAGAAGTGTTCACAACAGATATAAATGTTAACTAATCAATAATAGAAATGTTTTTTTTTTCTTCGCTTATAATTAATGAACATTTTCTCGAAGGTTAAAAAAAAAAAGAAAGTCTAATCTGAAATAAATGAATAAACTCAGTTTATATTTAGTAGATTGTTCGTAATTTTTTCATTCAATCTATATACATAATAATAATCTAACATTATGATGTAAAATGATACTATGAATTAATTATTTATTAGGATAATATAATGTAAACAGTATATGTTTTTTTTTCTTTTAATATATATAAGGTAATTGACAAAAAAAACAGTATTGAATAATCAAAAAAAAAAACAAAAAAGAAAAAGATTACCAATGTTTTAACCACAAGGGACTAAGAAATGAAGGACAGATTTTTTTTTTCTTCCTTCTCTCTTTAGAGTTTTTTTTTTTTATTCGTCATTGTCGTCTCAGGAGTGTCGCCGTGCTCGATGAACAACATACTCAATTGATGCAGTCTATGAGGCACCAAAACAAGAAAATATATATTGAGACACAGCTTTGCATCTCTTCGTTGCTCGTTCGCGTTTTTTTTTTTGTTCTCTTCTTCTACCGCCTAGATCAAGAAATTTGATGCGTCTCCATCCATTCTGTCCTATACTCACACATGGCATTACTGTGCTAAGATATATTCACAGCGTCTCCATCTGTTTCTTCTATTGAATTCAACTTTGAACCGAATGTCGCCAAATGAGTCAAGTAAATGTTAACAATGAATAATGAGACTAATTCAAAATGGTCACCAAAAATATTGATGACATACGCAATTTTTATTGATTTTGGTCTACTTAGTTTTTTTATCATTATGCCTTTACTAAAATTTATTCAAAATATTCTTCAACTAATCTATCTTACTATCGTAAGTCATTTTTATACTTGTTTATTGTAGAAAAAAAAAAAAAAGAAAAAGAAAAATTGACTCGAACAATCAAATCAAATGATTTAGAATAGAATAAAGAAATTTTTTTTTTTTCTTTTGTTAAATCTATGTTCTATTGTATGTGAATATTAATCGATCTATCGATATGGAACATGTATTCAAGCCATATTTTATAAGTGACGCGAAATGAAATTTTGAGTCTCATTTATATATTACTCAAGTAAGTATATAGATGACGAATAATAATAAGAAAAAAATGCATAAGGCAAATCCTTTCAATTGAGACTATACACGCGATCGACAGTGATTTCGGTGATCTTTGAAATATTTGATGAACAAAAGTCATTACATCATATATATATATATATATATATATAATATATATCAAAATAGAGAGAACTACTAAAAAGATGGAATTAATCATGATTGTTCTTTTCCATTTATACTAATAAAACAAAAGTGATCGAATCGAAAATGAGTATACGCAATAATATGAACATTCAAGCAGGCAAATAGCTATATAAGTACGCTTGAATGCCATTTAAACATTTTTACGTGTTTGTCATCTAACAATTGAATAAATGCAATGAACATGAATATGAACAAAAGAGAAAAGAAAACCCGAGTCATTATGTGAACTTGTCATGGAATTCGATACACACGATTTTTTTTTTCTTTTTCATATGACACATCTCCTATTTCACTTGCCTTTCGTGTTTTTTTTTAAATGTCAGATGAGTGTAGATCATTCATGAGAAAAATATATATATATATATATTTATGTATGTGTATGAAGTCTATCGATTAGTACGTTATGACAATAGTTATCGACGAGTAAAAAAAAGAAAAAGACAAATCTATCAAAAAGATGAAGAAGATAAGAATAGTAATAGAATACGAAAACTTTAGAATTTAACTAACAAATTGATCTGTAATATATATATTTTATTGAATGTTTGACATTGATGTATACATCTTTCTTTTGCACTTTCTTTCATGTTTGCTTACTTTCTTGTTTTTTTTCTTTTTTTTTTTTTTTGTGTTGAGGTAAAGCAATCGAGCAATAGTAGCTGCAGCAGAAAAGGAGAAGAAAAGAAGAGGGAAAAAAGGAGATTTTTTTATTTATTCAACCAACTGTTGGCAAACGCATACTTCTTCACTCTTGCTATCGGCTAACTTCTGTTGTTGTCTTGAGTATCCTGAAGAAAGTAAAGACCTTAGGTAACAAAAAAAAACAAAAAAAAAACACTGAGAGGATAGTCAAAGAAATATTTCGCATTTTTCACATAGGTTGTTTATTTATTAGATTCCTAATTAATTTACTGCTCATTTTTTCTAGATCCACTGGTATCATAGTATGAGTTCGATATTTCGTCGTTGGAAGAATCGACTACGTTGTTCAAGTAAACGATATATTCATCATAGTCGTTCATCTATACTCGCTGATAATGAAGTAAAATTAAGATTCTTTTTTTTTTATTAAAAAATAATAATTTATCCTTTTTTCCTAGTTTAAAACAGTTAATATAACAATGGATAAATTATTAAATGAAAATCGTATATTAAGAGAACGATTTGATACACTTGAAGAAAGAGTAAGTTTATTATTTCGTTATAATTTTCTTTTAGGATTCTATATATCTTTGTATGTTGATTTTTAGTGCCAACGATGGATTGCAGATGAACAAATTTATTTATTAAAACGTATTCAACAATTAGAAGATGAAAATCGTCGATTACATGAAAACTATCAAACATATCAAAAACAAAGTGAAAAATGTATTGGATCTGTCACTGATCTAATTATAAAAACACTCTTTACTCAAGAGGTAAGATACATATAATAAACAACAAAAAAAAAAAAAAAGGCAAAGAAAAAAGAGTTTTTTTTTTTCTCTCTTGAGAAATTATATTTTATTCAATCAGGAAAAGATAGGAATGTTTTATTAATATTTTATAATGAATATAAGTAAAAATTTGCTTTAAAAATATGATCTGCCAATAAACTTTTTCACATCTTTATATGAATTAATAAAAAAAAAAAAGCAGTTTATGTCTTTGGTATATTCTATATCAAAATAAAAAAAAAAAACAAAAATTTTTAGATTTCATGTTGAACTTACAAACCTGTTAGTTTAATATAAAAGTGCAAACCATGTAGTTCTACATGTTAGATTATAATACTTTGTTTTTTTTTTTGCATTTCTATGTCTTGTAACTATTTACGTTGAATTTAAATGTTTTCTAGGGTTACTCCTAAAATTCTTTTTTTTTCTATCTCTACTAAGTTTTATTTGATTAATTCATCGAATTAGTAGATGAAATTTTCTAAATTGACTATCTAATTTAAAATTAAACTATAATAAATAAAATAAAAAATATTTCTCTTGAATTTTTATAATCTCAGAGAAATTTAAAATTTTCATGACCTTCATTCACCGTCATACTTTGACATTGACTGATGCTTTTGTGCATATGTATGTATACACATAAGTGTTCTTCTCTTCTTTTGCTTTAACTGAGGAGCAAAAGACAAGTGTGTTACGTGTCTTATCACAACCTTCTTTTTTTTGTTTAATTGACGTGTGCCTGTTACTTCAACAGTAGTTTCAACTATAATCATATATATATATATATATGAATGAGTGTATGTCTATCTTTCTCTCAAATATCTACAACTGCTATCATTCAGTTTTTTTTTTGTTGCTTATATATACATGATATATCTTCTAGTCTGATTGTATCATCGTTTCTTTTCAACACTGTTACAACAGCGAAACATGTGCATGAAATAATAGACTTTCTTTCTTAGTTCGTTTTTTTTCTTTTGATTGTCTTGAAAAAAAAAAAATTCTTGTAAGATTGAATTTGATTGATAGTATTAATGCATGAGATAAATTTTTTTGAGCATGGTAAAATTGCAAATGAGTATATATGTATATTTGATTGTAGATATAGAAAATTTTTCTATACTTTCTTCTTTTAAATATTTGTAGCTGTATTAAAAAGATATAATATTAGTGAAGATGTAAATAAACATTAAAGTACAGTTTAGCTTTTTTTTTTGTTCCATAAATATGGAAAAAAAAAGACTATTAATTATCATAGATATAATATGAGAGACTAGATTAAGAAAATGACAAAACGTAAAAGTTGGTGGCTTCAAAATTTCTTTGGTCAATGTATTTTTTCGCATGATGATGATTTATCAAATCAGGTAGGTTATGAAATAGAAAAATTATTTATTAGATTAGTGTAAGAAGATTTCTTTGATATATTTTCATTTTATGATTTCTATTTGCAGGAATTAAGAAAACAATGCACTGATCTACATCATGTGATTGATACAGTTCAAATGAGAACAAATACACCACAAGTAAGGCACATGCTTATTTTACGCTAACCATATGTCGATTTCTGTCTTTTTTCCTTTTATTTAGAAGGAATCAATAATTCAAAGCAAACGTAGTGTTTCATGTCAATTGACATCCAATCCATCGGTATTTATACATAGAATCATTAAAAAAAAAAAAAAAGAAAAAATCATATTCGTCTTTCACTTTCAGAATATTGAAAATCGACATACTACAAATGACCAATCTACATGGTTTCATCAGCAATTAATGATTGTCGAAGAAAATGATCAAAAGACAACAAATCAACCATCACGTATGTGTACATAGCATAGGAGAATTATGATGTAATTTACTTCTTGTATTTCTATTACACGCATAGATACCCATAAATAATTAGATATAATAGAACGTGGAAAAAAAAGAGAAAGTGTGTGTGTGTGTTGAACGACAAAAAAACTGCAATAGAAAAAAAAAGTGAGAAAAAAAGCAAGCTTCGATGATTTTCTATAACGATGAGAGCAGAAGATGTTGAATTCATACTAACACAGGCGGCAAAACGGACATGAAATAATGCCACAAAGAAAACAGAAAAAAAAAATCGACAGGAAAAAAAAAAGGAAGAAAAAAGTATGCATGTTATTTGAGTGTATATATGTAGAGAAAATACTCAGACAAATTTAGACAAGGTAAGATAATATTGTTTCAGATCCTTCGTACTTTATTTAAATAAATCAAGAAAATAAAGAAAAAAAAAATAACATCTTTCGTTAAATAAATATGAATCAAGAACATTTGCATATCAACTTAGAAAAATATTATTTAAGCCTTATTCTAAGTGCATGACAAAAAAAAACTTATGATGCATTAAGTTAAATATTTTTTTTGTAGCTTATTTCATGTTAAACATAGATTAAATAGTATAAAATGAAAAACGGAAATTAAGTATATCTGATTTTTAATAAAATTCATTTTTTTTTACTTCAACTAGAAAGTCATTACCTTCATACGGTCAATTTAATTTTTTTTTGTCATAAAAACACATATTCAATTGTATTGGCTGAAATATTTACATTAATATATCCTCTTGAGAAAGGCAAAGAAAAAACTGAAATATAATATACATTGCACATGCAAGAGTTTCTGTCTCTCTCATATTCAATAATAAAATAACTTATGTTATAACAAGCATTCGACAATCGACTTGTTCATACACATTTCTATTGGTTACTGTTGCTCTCTTTTACAAGTCATCAGAATCAATCTTTTTTAGCTTGTTGAAATAATAATAATAATAATAATAGTAATAATATTGAATGAAATTTGATATATGTAGAGAGAGAGAGAGAAGAAGAAGAAAGAATTGATACCATATAAATGTATCCATCTTTGTGATTGTTGCATTATAGTATGTATGTCGTGACACGACATAGCGACAATATATATATATATATATATGTCTCAGAATTGGGCGGTACTTATTCGTATGTCATACATTCGTGTAAGACCGAACAAGTCATTCGTGCTTATGCATCAATAATATATTGATAAAGTACAGAAACAAAAGTCGAACGTGCACCTATATATTTATGCATATACATATATAGATACTTGCTTACAAACAGACTTAAGCTTTTATTCATTCTAATTAATAACCCCGACTATTCATATGTTCTCTTCATATTATCGTCATAACGGTTAGCGAAAGTAAAGCTTTTTTTTCTCTTTTTGTCATTTTCGTTACTCTTTATTCTCTCATCGCCCCTGATAGACATTTAGTCACATACGTCGTTTGTCTTTTGTGTTCACTGGCTCTTCTCTTATCCTATTATCATCTATTTGTCGTTCAATAACCAAAAACAAAGCATACGTATTCGGGACGTTGTCCGAAATGGGATAAATCAAGATTAAGAACGAATGCGTATTACCTTTCCAATCTTTCGTTCACAATCGAATTTCTTTTCTCATCAAAAAACAACATAAAAATTTGTTCTTATTCGATATATTAGTCAAGAAAAAAACCAAAAAAAAAATATGGTTGTATTTGACAATAATTTAAATGAATCCGATTCAATACAATGTTATTATGGTGAATGTGATAGTTTATTAGCTAATTGTTGTAGTAAAACACATTTATCATCAACTTTTAAATTTCGTACAATGAATAGACAACGAAGACAGATGGCCTTCGAAGCACTTCGACAAATGAAATTACAACAGCAAACAGAAATTTTTTCCACAAGATCAAAAAGACGTAGAAATAAAAAACGTTTCTATAGAGCACTATGTTGTACTGGTAAGAAAGATAAGTTATTAGTTATAAGACTCAAGTAAAAATAGATCAATCTTTTATTTTCTATAAATAAATAAATAAATAAATAAATAATATAATTATTTTTGTTTTTAATCATTCATAGACTTACACATTAGTGAAAGTCAATCAAGTGTTTATTCTTCTGCAATGGCTACTATTAAATCTAAATCTCACATTCCATCAACAGGTCTTACTAATGAATTTTATTTTGTATCACATAAACCTGATGGTGATAATGAAAAAACACCACCAGTATTAATGCGTAGTAAACATCGTTCATCAAATCTTCAAACTATACCTATTGATAATATATCATCAACATTAAATAATCGTCGTCCAATATCATCACCTGTACGTTCTACAACATATGTTCTTCAACAACATCATAGAGTTCATAATAATAATAATAATAATATTAATCAGAAGAAAATTTCATCACCTGTACATCTACCGCCATCATCAGCAACACCAATGACATTAAATAAAAATCGACAAATACAACAGCAACGTACCAATTCCAATCATGAAAAGTTACCATTATCAACAGTTGATTCAACAATAACAAATCAACACCTTACTTCTCGTACACATACTGTATTAACACCACGTCGTACGTCACCCATGATTAAAAATACACCAATAAAGACAGCAACATCTACATCAAGGTCCCCTCGCGTAAGCACGAGAGAGAGAGAGCAGCAAAAAAAAAACAACAACCATCTCATGAATATTAATAATATTTTCATATTCTTCTTTTCTCTCTTTTTTTTTTGTTTTAATACAATTTAGATTGCAAATACTCCACCAATTCGTTCTTCTCGTCCATCAGCACCAACACCACCAACACCAATTCAACAACGTTCGCCACGTATTCAACTTCGTCCTTCAAATTTAACACCAACATCTCAACGAACCATATCATCATCTCCAACAACAAATAAATCAATTCGTCCTCAATATACATTATCAAAATCACCTGACAAATTACGATCTGCTAATGGTACAGTAACACGTCCACGACAACCACAAACGATTGTTAAAAAATCTAAATTAAATAATACAAATACTACAACTAATAATATTAAAACACGTACATCTGTTGTTGTTCAATCTGCATCATCATCAGTAGCAACTCCTCGTGTTTCTGATCTTGATGCATTAATGGCAGAAAAACATATTATTAATAATAATAATAATAACAATGATGATGATAATAATAATAATAATAAAACATCACATAATATTGAATTAAAATCAACAATTATTTTTCCACCACCAATAGTTAATAATATTCGACGTTCATTATTTTCAACAGATTCTGTTAAAGTAGTTCGACCTGTTCGTAGTCAAGAATTAAAACTTTTTTCTTATCATTTAATTACTGAACCATTATCATTACCACAACCATCACCAGCATCTAATGAAATATCATGTGAATCAAATATTGATGATACACTTTCAATTTTAACTCCATTATCAGCAGGACAGATAATAGATAATAAATTTGTTGATAATGAAATCATTATAAAAAATGATGATGCATCGTCTATTACTTCTGTTATTACACGTGATCTTTCTGAAGATAGTCTTAATGAACATTATCATATTAGAAAGTTACTTAATGATAGTAAGTTTCTTCTTGATTTTTTTCCAAGTAAAACCATACTTTGATACTTTCAATGAAATTTTCTAATCGGAAGTGAATAGTCGTCTCGAAGGATACGACATTTTTTTTTCTGTTTTTTTTTGATATTCGGTACCAAGCACATCCTACATATTTCTTAGATGACTATAGAGCCTATCGAATCCAAAATTTTCAAATCTGGTCGGACTCATGTCGAACCCGACAGACTAATTTTAAGATCATATGAAGATTTATTCTTCTGAATAAGAACATTTTTCTTTTCAAATTGAGTTTAAATGTAAAAAGATAAATTTCATTTCTAATTTTATATCCTTGATGAGAGTGAACATAGAATGTTATTTGAAAAAAAAAAATATTAATTTTTAATATTTTTTTAAAAAGATTCTAATGCTAATATTGCATGCTTAACTGTACAGACTCATGTGACAAAAAAAAAATTAACGATTTGTATTTCATCTAACAAAATATTGACCTTCTTCATATAGACTAATGTTTGTCATATTTATAACTATGAAATAGTTTTCTAAGCGGAGAATGTCATTGACAAGAAGAGCATTATCGTTGTCTCATTTCTCCTATTAATCACTAAAAAACTGACACTATATTATTCCATTTACATCAAAGAACAACAACAAAAAAAAAACATTATTCTTTAGATGCATTAACTTCAGCAATTAACAATGATAATATACAAGATAGTTCATCAAATGAAGATATTCCTGTAACATCATGGTCACGTATACGTTCATCATGTGAAAGTAATATATCACATATTGTACCATTAAAAAGTGAAACATCAACAAGTCCAGCTTTATATAATGGTCCTATACGACAAGAAGATATTCATATGGCTAGTGATGGACGATATTTTCTTTTGATTGATGATAATTTAAGTAGTGAAGAAAGTCAATTAAATAAAACAACGTCATCATCATTATTATCTCGGTCGATTTCACCATTGATAAAAACATCAATAACATCATTAAAAAAAGATAAAAATCTTATACATCGTTTAGTATTTCCACCACGTCTTGGTCGAATATTATTTTATCGTCGAATATTATCAGATTCAGATATATATCAAAAACTTTGTTCAAAAGATAATGAAATTAATCATAATGTATATCATTTAGATACAATACGTGATTATTCAATGGAATTTTATATGTTAACAACATATGCTTCTGATTCACAATTACGAGCTTGGCTTGATAGTAATTATGATGATATTGTCAATAATACTTGTTATTTCGATGATAATCGATATCAATCACTTGATGATGATGATGATGATGATGATGATGATGATTTAGATAGAAATCAAATAAAAATGAATAGTAGTAGTGATAGTATTATTCGTGAAGACGATTTAAGTCATTTACAAGGTGATGAAGAACTTGATTGGTATTCTGAACTTGAATCATTTAATATATCACCAAATAATCCACAGGTAAAATAAGAAAATAGAATTTTTTGTTTTTGTAATTTATAATTATTCTTTAGTGGAAACATGAAAATGTATCAAGTTGTTCAAGTGAGGATCATGTTGGAGAATTATTACGTGCTGAACAGGTTAGATTTTTATTTTTGATTTATTCAGTTATGAAATATTTTTAGAATAAAAAACAAATGTATTGATTATCGCTTTTTTTTTGTTTTGTGTCTTTTAGTTTTCTGTATCGAGTTTAACAACAACAACATCAGCTGATTCATCAAGTTCAACTGGTCTAATATCAGCTTCATGGCCATTAACAAATGGTATTAATTATCAAGTTCATTGTCAGCGTTCATCTCAATCTCTAAATTCACCTCCATTATCAAACTTTGATGATCAAAGTCATACAATTTTAAAAGAAATTTTAACATATCCATGGACAAATGAAATATCAAATACAAATATCAATCGTCAAGAAACAAGAAATGATCATACTGATAATCATACATCATCATCTATTGTTCCTGATGAATTTCAACCTGATTTCTATTATTTATGTCCACTTAAAAATACCACAAGTTTTGTTAAAACCGATGAAAAATCCGATGGTATTCAAAGACAATTATCCCATGATGTATAATGTGTTCAGTTCTTCTTCTTTTTTTTGTTCTTTTGTGCTCTCTTTCATTTCCTTTTATTTGCTTGAAGTCTTGTTTTCTTTTTCAAATTGCTGCTCAAGGCCAGATACTGTTATTTATATTTTTGTTGTTGTTGTTTTTTTTTCTTTTTGTTATCACATTAGATATATAATGAAAAGAAAAAAAAAAAAAAAAGAGAAAAGCAAAATGATATTAAGATGATTATGTATTGTTGCCAAGTAATTGATCAAGTAAATCTAAAATAAAAAAAACAAAAACAAAAAGAAAGAAATTAATATTAAGAAAATAAATAAATAAATAAATAAATTCTTACAATCAATATTAATTTTTGTTTGTTCATCATTTAAACCTAATTGAATAAGATCATCTAATTCTTCATCTGTTAATGGTTCACCAAGTGTTGTCATTATTGTCCGAAATTTTTCAATATCAATATAACCTTCTTGTGTAGGATCAAATTTTTCTAAAGCTTGACGAAGACCATCACGATCATTATTAATTGCTGTCCATGATTCATTGGTTATTTGTAAAACATCTTCAAGTGTTAATTCAAATTTTTCTTAAAAAAGAAACCCCAATTTTTATTATTGTCCATGCAATAGTTTGTAGATAAAGTTTATAAAATCAGTAAAACGATAAAAAAAATTTTTTTCAGGAAGTTCGACATCTTTAAAAAATTATATTTCTAAGTACGAGAAAGAAAGTCGTTTTACTTAATGAATATTATTCATCATAGATACGTAAGAAAATTGAAGAGAACTTTTTTGTAGCTGATAAAATGACAAAAATTATTTTCTGAGTTAAAAATTTTTGTATCTAATAGAATCTATCGAAAAAGTGAAATTTCTTTTTATTTGAAAATTCTATTAGGATAAGAACATTTTTTTCTTACCAGCTGCTTCAAGTTCATTAATTCTTTGTTCAGAATCTTTTAATGAAGGATTTCTACCAAATGCTTGTAAAACTTGTGTTAAACGATTAACATTAATAAAATCTTCATTAGGATCATCTTTAAATCTTGAAAATATTGCATTTAATTCGACTAAAAAAGAAAAAAACCAAACCATCAATAATTATCTTTGTATAAATACAAACGAACATTTCTTACTCATCTCTTGATCAATGTCTTCATTATCAATATTTTCTTTATCAATATTTTCATTATCAATATGTTCATTATCAATATGTTCATTATCAATATCTTCATTATCAACATTTTCATTATCAATATTTTTATTATCAATATTTTCATTATCAATATTTTTATTATCAACATTTTCATTATCAATATTTTTATTATCAACATTTTCATTATCAATACTATCATCTAATTGAGGGTTTTCTTCGTCTTCCTAAAATAATACTAATTTTAAATTTTCTTGTCATATATAACTTACCATTTCTTTGTAATATTAATAAAAATTTGACTTTTTGCACACTATAGTCGTTGCTAACAACTACAAAGTAATTTAGAATTTCTTGTTTTATTTCTTTCCTCACAACTGTGAGACACAATTACTTTTCATTTTTATTTTCTTTTTCTTTTCCTTCTTAACCATAGGAACAAAAAAAAACTATATATATATATATATACACATAAAGAGAGAAACATTATTTTTTTTCTTTCTCAAAGTTCAAGTTTTTCATTAATTATTCTGTTTGGCATTGGTGTATTACAATTTCCATGATATAAACTAATATTTTGTTCATTGTTACAATTAAAATAATTATCCCAAACATCATCATAACCTTTTCCTTTCCACCATGTACATAATTGTCTATTCCAAGAACATGGCAAAATAAAAAATAAATCATTATGTTGAAAACTTAATAATGTATAAAAATCTTGATCACCTAAATGTGAATGATTAAAATGATACTTATGAATAAGTTGTTCAATAAGATATGAATTTTTTAAATAATTATTAAATAAACTTGATTGACGAATTTTATTTAAATTAAGTAATAGAACACCACTATTAAAACCTGTTATACCATATGGTGGAGGATTACCAATATTAGTATGAGGATTTTCTTGACGATATAACCAAAGAAGATGTCGATAAATAGGTTGATTTTCACGTGCAATTCCTATATAATTAAAAATAATTCGATACCGATAAGTTGAAGTTTTTTATTACCTAATATTTGACTTTGATTAAATTGATTAAATAATTTATATAATTCTTGTATATCATTATCAAATCGAAGATCAATGTCAAGCATAATAACACGAGAAATATTTTCTGGTAAAATTTGATGTAAAAATGGTGATAGAAAAAATAAAGGATCTTTATAATATGTATGACCAGATGAGAAATGTTTAATTAACGGTGAGATTAGTTTTTCATATTTTGATGCTAAATCATCGATATTAAATTTATTTATCTTAATAGAGGAAAAAAAAATAAAACAATCGAGACTTTCCGTTTTTTTTTTTTCTTATAAAAGTATCAGAACTTGATTACTTGATGATTATAATGAAGATTTTGAAGAGTTTGATTAACAAAATGATGACTATCTGAATCACCAATAACATGCAAACGAAGGTTGTCTTTAGATGTATGTTGAAATAATGAAGTGATAAATGTAAAAAAATTTAATTGTAAACGTTGATTTGTTGAGAGATTTTTTACAGTAAAGGCAATATCAATAATTGATGATGAAAATGATGATTGAATACAGATGAACAAAAAAAGAATTAATATCTGTTTAAAAATCATTGATAAATCTAAAAGAAAAATTTTATTTTTAACTCTACTATATAAATAATTTTCTTTTCAAGCTTCATAATCATAATAGCAATTCTATTGTACTTAAAAACTTGTGAATTATTTTTCTTTTCTCTCAAAATAAAAGCATCGAAGTATTCTTTTTTTACAAAACGATTAACAGTTTGCTCGTAGTAATCGTAAATAATATGAAGGACAATACTTTTGTTTTACTCGGCTAATGATTGTAATTATATACATATAATGTTGTAAATATTGGTTGTCGTTCTTTGTTTATGAACAAGTTAATGATGAAAATGCTATCGATTTTCATTGATCGAGAAATAATGAGAGTATACATTTATTCATAGATGTTAAAAGAAAAAAAAAAGAAGCTTTTGTCCGTGATTGGACGATATCGTAGAAAACGACGAAATTTTGTTGAATCGATCAATAGTTTATTCTAAAGGTAATTTACTGTTATTAAAAAAAAGATCGAAGTTTTGTATATAGTTGATAAGTCTTCTTGTTTGACAAATTTGGTAAATCTCAGCAGTTATTGAAGATGCATTGATATCATTTATACAGTGATGTTCAAAATTTATCACACACCTCATACTTAAAACAAACGATATAAATTTCGCAATAAAACAACTGCGTATTTTTTAGAATTTTCAACAGAAAACATCTATTAAGGCTGTTTTAACTATAGGAGAGAATCGAGATTCGCTGAAACGTTGTTCAAAGTGCTTTTCTTATTCGAAATCACATAATATGCAGCGTTTCATTGCGAATTTTACATACATTTTTATATAAGACGTACAATCAATTTGGAGCTTATTCAGAAGATATTATTTTTAGTAGTTTTTATCTAGCACAGAAAGTATACGGCAAGTAGAAGTGATACTTCCTGCAAATAAACCATAAAACCTCAGCTACATTTTACCAAAAATTGAACTTCAATAGAGGATCTTAGGAAAACAAGGGCATTTGTTAGGTGTACAATTGAATTTAAAGAATATTTATGCTCTTGGTCGAAAAACACTTCGTTGGAAATATGTTCTGGGAGACGAGAAGCGTCTCAAACGTGTGGGTGTGGACAAACTTGTTTGATCTTGTTCATTTTCAATAATCCTATAGAAGGATCGAAGAATTCACAATAGTCTAGAGTATTTCGCAAAACTTTCGACGAAAAACATGTAATTCATTTTGAGCATCACTGTATCTCTCTATGATATTCAAAATACGAGTTAATAGCATTGAATTTGAAATTAACCTATCCTTTCAATCATAAAATATAACGAAAGTGTTTAATTAAAGAAAAGTGAACATACAAAGATTTGCTTCTAACGAATAGACAGTAGCTAAAGTTAGATGACTACTGTATTACTTATGATCTTTTCAATTGTTTGTTTGAAAATCTATGTTCATTGATAAACGTTTTTAAATGTATCTGTGATGAATAGAGGATTTCTCATTTATTGTGATGCTTTTCTTTGCATTTTTTGTATAAACACCTCTACACGTTGTTTTTCTCATTTCCTATTGTATTGAGAAAGAAATCATCATCTTCAATGGATTATATCCTATGTACACAATAATCGTCTATTTCCTTTTGTCAGTTCTCTAGTAAACAATTCAAATTTCATTCATTAGAATGTATTTAACTTCTATTGTAGTTACAACGTCAAATATAAATAAATTTTATCTTAATACACATATAAAATTATAGAGTGAAAGAAAGAATAATATAATCAACATGTTCATCACTCGAATCAGTAATATCAATTTCAAATTGACATTTTTTCATATAAAAATCAATCGCTTTCTTATTAATTTTATAAACAGTTAATATAATTTTTAACATTTGTGTTTTTTGACAAAATAATTTCATTTGTTCTACTATCCATTGACCAAGACCTTGTCCTTGATAATTTTTATTTACTTGTAATTCATATAAATATAAAACACGACTACCATAATCAATATCAAAACGAAAATGTGCAAATGCTAATAATAAATTATTTGAAGATAAAATAAGTAAATATCGTGATTGATTAGAAAATAATTCATTTTGTTTTTCATCAAAATTATAACCATCATTTGATTGTTCATATAATATTTTCATATTCATTTCAAATAATTCTATAATTTGTTTTTGATATTCATTTGATAATTCTCTAGCATGATATATTTTAATTTGATAATTATTTGGTATATATTTATTTGAATGAAGAATAAAATTATAAAGATCAGATGAAGAAAGATGTTTTGCATGTTCAACTAATTTACGACTTTTTTTCATTTTTTTTTTCTTTTTTTTTATTATTTTCTTCAAGAAAAAAACAAATAAACAAAATGAATTTTATGAAAAAAAAAAGAATTCTTCTATCCTTTATTTTGTTTTCTTCTTATATTTATTGAATTTTTCCAAACAAAAAACAAATTTATTCTAATGCTTCACTACGAACAGTTACATTTTCTGATGTTTCACTTTTTTCATTCTTTGTTTCATTAAGAATTGTTACATTTTGTGCCATTTCACCTTTTTCATTTTTTGCTATATTAAATTCAACTAGTTGACCTTCTTCTAATGATTGAATACCATTACTTAAATTTCGAACATGTACAAATATATCTGATCCACCAGTATCACGTTGTACAAATCCATAACCTCTTCCTGTTAGCCATCTAAAAAGATCTATTGAAATGAAAACAAAATAATATGAAATTCTAATACTTACTTTTTGACAGTGCCTGTTTGACGTTCACCAAGATTTGTAGTTGAAGTTGTATCTTGTTGTTGATTTTTAAAACCATCGTCTTTCACAATAATAACATCACGTGCTTCTTCACCTTTGTCTGTTTGCTGAACACCATATTCAACTATTTGTCCCTAACATAAGATGAAATTTAGTTGTTTTTAATATTTAAATTATTGAAAATTTACCGGTTCAAGTGATTGTACACCATCTTTAAGACTTCGAACATGACAAAAAAGATCTTGGCCACTATTTGTTCGACGAATAAAACCAAAACCTCGTTCAGGTGTCCATCGTTTAACTGAACCTAATTCACGTGTTTGTTCATTAGTTATTCGTGGTTTTTTTGAAGAAAAAAGATTCTCTCTAGTAGAACTTGTTAAATTTTCACTAAATCTAAAAGGTTTTTCTGTTGATGTTGATTCTTGTTCTTTAAACTGTAATTTAGAAGATGCAGTACCACCAAAATTAAATACAGATGATGATGATGATGATGATTGGTTTCTTGAAAAGGTACCGAAGTTTCTTCTTGGTGAAGGAGACTCATCATCGGATGAGCGTTGAAAAAATGGCTTACGACTAGTGCCAACATCAATTATACTAACATCCTATGAGTAAAAAAACAGAGCAAATGTTAACATTTACTTAAATTTGAAAATATCAATACATTCAAATCCTATGTTTTCGTGAAAAGTAAATATTGAATTTATCATCAAAAAAGTTATACTGTTCATTATAACCAAAACAGGATATAAGTATCTTTCATTTGACTATGATTTTTTAAAAGATTTATTTTTCTGTATAAGTTCTTCTACCATGAATTTATACATATAAACATAGGCTCTTTGAAGTCACATCAGATTAAAATGTAATTAGTGAATAAATTTCTAATTTTTATGACCAAAAAAATTCGAAAAACTTCAGAAT